GCTACTTCCTACTTTCTACAAAAAAATAATGATACACTCTCTCTCCCACCTTCTATAATTTACCCTGGATGCCTTTCTAAAAAGCCTGCTCTCATTCAGTCAGAAGTATGGTTTGTATTATGCAAGATGTCAGACTGGATAATCAAAATAGTGTCTTCTGGCCTTAAAAATCTGTTTGTCTTTACAGCTGCTGCCATTAGCAACAAGGAAAAGTCAGCTAGCTCGAGACTGGCAAACTGAGTTTGATGGTCTCCTACAAACAGAGCAAATTCCCTTTCTAATTCTATTATTCACTCCTTTCTTGTGTGGTTTGGTGTTAGTTGGAAGGGAAGTGTTGCAATTAGTTGTTAGTTGGAAGGGAGGCAGGCAGTATTAAATCAGGCCTGATCAGAAATTACTAAGTGGAAAATTTTCTTCCAGTCTCAAAAGACCACACTCTTCTCCAAAACAGCATCTCACAGGAAAACCTGCCACCTGTCTTGTTTTAGGACAGATTTTTTGGACACAACAAGTTTTTCAACTTAGAGAAAAACCTTGCTAGGTTAGGCATGGGGGACCTTTCCTACCTGGACATGTCTCAGTCTTAGGGTCTTAGGGGTATGTGCTTCAGGCACCATTAATAAGCAATATTATAAGTGTTGAGTGGCTCCTGTATTAGATTTGAAAAATATTATCCTGAAAATATTATTTAAGTACTTAGAAACAAGAACGGTGGATTCTTGGACACTTTCAAGAAACAATATACTGTATTCAGATTATTTAATTTAAAGACTCTGTGGCAGCTTCTTCATCAGTGCTGAGAAAATGCTAAAAACTTCAGAGCCACACTCCCAAATGCAGGCATGTTGGTTGCATTGGCAAAACCCACAGCTGCCTGGAAAAAATGGGGGTCTCACTGCTGTACAAGTCACATGTGTAACTTATACTTGCAGTGTAGGTTGCTACATTTACCAGTTAGGCCCTCAGTGGACAGTTGCCTGGAAATCTGGCCTGTCCCCTGTGGCAGGAGAAGCAGAGCAGAAAACTACCTTATTTTGTGAATGTTCTGTACCTACTGCACTGGAGCCCTCATCTCACCTGGGGCCTCTCAACACTACCTGAACTGCAAATAATAAATACATAACTACCATTTATTCATAATTTTAGGTATCTCCCCGAAGCCATGGTAAGGGAACAACATTTTGCTGCTTTTGAGAGTCGGTTGGTTTGGAGTGAGACGTGGGTGCAGAAAGGGGGATGCCAGCTGGCAACATGGCAGCTCTGAATTTATCTTCCTTGTTCATCATGGTTTTGCCCTTGTTAAATGTTTGCCCTCATGTTCTGTTTCAAACAAATGCACATCCCTCCAGTGCCCTCAGAAAGCACCAGTCTGTAAAATGAAACCTGGGCTTATTAATTCCTGAGAAGTGAAAGTATAGTTGGCAATGACAATTTAATGACAGCAGAGAACACCAACCTTCCCATGTTTCTAATCTGTTAACTCTTCTTTCCTCTTTTTGTGCCTCTTCTCTGTCCTTATCCGGGTGGATTATCTCTGTAGCTGATGTGAAACCAAAAACCAGGCGTTTCACATGAAAAATATCCACATCCTCCAGGAAGATTATTTTGGGCCAGGAATTGAATGAACTAAACTTGGGATCTAGCCCAGGTCTATTAAAAATAGTTCAGCATGTAGCCCTGGGTGCCATGTGCCATTCTGCCATCTGTGCGGACAGACACATGGGCTTACCAATGAGCAAGCTTGCCGCAAAGTTAATGCCATAAATGACCAAAGTGCTTCCAGTTGCACCAATTGGCAGCTGGCACATGGAGGAGAGGTGGGGACCACTGAGCTGTGTCATGATTACATCCCAGCTAATGTCCTATTTCTCTTCTCCTTTCTCTTCCATAGTCCTCTCCCCCTCCCTCCTCCAACCAGCTCGCATTGAATTTCACATTCCAAGAGCTTATGGAATGCATTAGCACCAGATAAAAGTACAACACACCCTAATGTAGGCCCCTGACGTCAACCATCCCTAGAGTTTGGAAGGGGAAGCTGTAAACAGAGGAATGAAAGGAGGTTATGAAAGACCATCTTTTTTTGGCTTCCATGTACAAGTCTCAAAAAACTAAGAAGAAGAAAGAGGAAGTGCTGAAAGTTGGGATTAACTCTGTGCAGAGGTGTCCACTGATTCTCAGAGGGAGGAATCTATCCAAAGAGAGAGAAAACAGCAGGAGACCAAGACTGAAAACAGGTTTTATTCTTGGAGGCTGCTTTCTCCCTCACCCCAGGCCACTCCTGATCCATAGGAAGGGGTGGAAACTAGTGTTTGATATTCTATACAATATGCTACACAGCTGGGTTTTTCAGAGGCTCCTGGGGACAATAAAAATGTCTGAGAACTATGTTTATGTAACTGGGATTCTGAGCAGATTACAGCAGGAAACATAGCTTTAGGTTGACCATGCTGTAGCTTTTTACCAGGCACAACTATGCTGGCCTGTCTATACATACTGAGGTTTCTAATGAGCCTTTTGGGAAGACCCCAGCACTTCTCCTGGCCTGTGCTGCTGCTGAAGCCCATGGATACTCTTATATGTGTTGCCTCCTCTTGCTGTAAAAAACACTTTGAGATATCTTCTCAAACAGAGACTCAGAAGATAGAGAACTGGCTAAGTCCATTATAAGGACACAGTTGAGTAATGCCATTTACACAGAAAAAAAAAACTTGACCAGGACCCACTAACATTGAAACTCTGAGTGAGATGGGGACTCTGTGTATGTGGACATAGACCATGTCTGCAGTCAACCATATTACAACACAACAGCACTTCTGATTTTCAAGTTGAACCAATTCAACAACAACAAAACACCCTGGATTTAAAAAATGGAGTTTATCAATAACTATCAGGAATAAACCCAGAAATTGTTATTCAGTTTGTATTGACTTCACCCTCTTATGACTATAGTTTGTTTATATTGGCTTGTATCTAACATTAATTCATACTAGGTGCTTTAAATTCTGGATTTCTATTCCATGTGCTATATACAAGGAGAATTATACATGTGTGTGGGTTTTTAAACCAGACTTTATTACAAACTATGGACATAATTTGTTAAAGAGCTCCATAGTGCAAAGCCCCAGACAACTATGTCAATGATTATCAGGATTTTGCTGTGGAAGAAGACAAAGGAAAGAAGAAAGTACTAATGTGCAAGTACTATAGAGCTACAATACATACTATCAGGACAAAAAACGTTTACTAGATGTTTGCAGATGCTCATCAAACCCATATAAAACCCAGCATCAAACCAGGCACATCTAGTGTTGCAACCCAGTTGTCAAATACTGACTCTGTGACAAGGCTTAAAAGCAAACTGAGGAAGAAATGCATTTTGGCAAGTACCTAGAAAAAAATCTTCTTGCTACAACTTATGAAATGCAGAAGTCCTGAAAAAGCCTGATTCATACGCATTTACAGAGAGCTTGATTGCCAAAAATGAACAAACATCTTGTTACATAACAGCTAAACTAGTGATTCTCAACCAGGGTGCCATGGCAGCCTGGGTGCCTTGAGAGTCTTTCAAGGCCAGTGCCACAGTGTTTTGTTAGGTGTACAAACATAATTCACAAAATAAACCCTGAGTTTTCACGTAGGACTCTACCGTGTTAAAAACATTCTGACCTGTTGTGGTCTTTCTGAGTTTTTTTGCAACAGAAATTTTTTTCTGCTATTTTTCTGCAGTCAAAAAAAGAGTGAAAACTAAGAGCTGGCATTTTCTGAGGGGTGCCTTGAACTTATGGAGGGCTACCTCAAGTCTATGAAGGGGTGCCTTGAGTCTAAAAAGTTTGAAAGCCACTGAATTAAACATTACAGTACAGATGGGACCTAATTATGGTTCTAGAACAAGGTCAAAATCCTGGACAGTCCAAAGCTTTAGGATTACAGGGAAGATTGTATACTTCCTACACTATAACATTTAACTAAGTTCTTACCAGGTTAGAAAAAAAATGATACCATATTTTTTTGTGTGGTTATAGAACCTGTGTTTTTAGATGTCTGTTTTTAGATGTCAGATGACAGAAATGACAGGGACCACATCAACATGTAATCATCCTGTGGGGAAAAAATCTTTCTGCATGGCCTTTCCAACAGCCTCTGCATTGTACAGGTCATATGATATTGGAAAGGAGTTGGCTAGTGGAGCTAGCCACTCACACAGGGCAGACAGGTCCAGATCAGCATGGCAAACAGGGGATTAGATTAAAACCAGGGCTTCAGGAGATGTAGCAGAGAAGAGCATCAAGTAAGTGATGACCCAGCCTATCTGCCTCTGGCTGGCATCTCATGGTGTGTGTTGGTTGAGGAAGGTCCATGATTCAGGAATGAGAAGAATATGAGGCCATGTAGGAGTGCACTCCATCCTTAATGATTTCTTAAGATCCCCTATCAGAGCCCTTAAGAGTCCTTCTGAACTCCCAGATTATCCTCTTCATTTCCCTAGTGGATTATTAAAACCCCTTCCTACACTCGTACTGTCAATGTCTATACTGGTTCCTTGAAGATCTCTTTATTTTACCCTGGGATACAGCCCACTACCTTGAGACTGTGGATTTCCACAGAACTGTCTATACAGGATAAATGAGTTGGTCTAATAAAATATACTGGATTTACCCAAAGAACCTTGTCTGCCATTAGCAGGAGCTGGAACTTACCTGTGGGCTGCAACACATGTCTCATCTCACCCACTCATCCAAATGTGAGCAGTGTCAAGAGAGGGAAAACCCAGTACTACTCAGTTCTCTGTCTAGCAGGAAATGCATGCAAATCTAAAAGCTTGAGAGAACCATTCAGGAAACTCCCCATTTCATAGGGAGCTAATTCAGCAAGCTTCACGGGGATCTCAGACTAACCTCAGTCCCTCACTCATGCAACAATGTTTGGGAAAGTGTGTAAGCCTGGTCTAGGGGTCACCCAAAATGAGGCACAGACACAGAAGGAGCAAGAGTCTTACTAACCTCCTGTGAATATCTTCATCTCTATCCTGTCATGTCACACTTGACAACTGGGCAGCTCTTGGAATGGATCCTGACCCACAGAACAGGTTCATCCTTGGAGGCAACAGGGCAGGCTTCCTTTTTTTCCTTAAGATGAAAGAAAGCAAAGACTCCTTCTTAGTTTTGTTTTTAGTAAATAGTTTTATGAGGAAGGCACCTTCACAGTGCAAGCACTAAAGCTGTTAGTTCAGGGCCTACCTATGGGCCTTGGCCCCAAAACTACCCATTGAACAAAGGTCTGTATTCCTGTGCTTCTAAGATGGACTTTACCCCACAAAGAAAACCATCTTTAACCCAAGGGTTAGTAACATTTTTGGACAGAGTGCCAAAAACACCCACAACCTGGACTTGGAAAATGTTGGCATACAAGGAGCAGATGGCAGGGGAGCCACAAGGGGCCTGATCTCATAATGGTAGCACAGCCCTGGACCCTTTCCCACCACCCACCCCGAGGTGTGCATGCCAAGCAAATGCTTTTGCATGCCATGCTTTGACACCTGTGCTGGGGGTTGCCTACCCCTCCTTTAACCTCTGTTGTCCTGCATACTCTGGGACTCCAGGCAGACTCTCTCTGTTGTTTCTTGACATGTAAATGAGTATTGTCCCAAACCTCACTCTTTCTTCCACCATGTCCTTAATTTTATAAAACAAAGGTCTGGAATGGAGTTGCACTCCACACTGAGCCTCAGGTGGTATAACCTAGCATCTACTGAACTCCTACCAGCAGTGTCAATTGGTAACAGCTGAGGTTTTGGCTTATGTGCCTCTGGCCTGAGGTCCCTCATGAACTGCCAGGTCTTTAGGACTTTTTCCCTTTGGACTGAATGTCCTTGATCCTGTTCTTGTGTCTCAGTCTTTCAGCCTTTCATGCTCCAAATTTTAATTAACAAGAACCACCTGGTCCAGCTACCAGGCTGACTTTGCCAACAGCTCTGCATCTCTACAGTGTCCTGAAGCCCAACCTCAGTCACTGATTCATCAACACTGCAATAACTGTTTTGTCAGAAGTGTAACTAGGTGTGGGCAAGAAGGACACCAAGATAAAGGGGAGGGGCCCAAAAATGGTGACTATCCTTACTGCTTGCCCAGCTGCCACCACTGCCATCCAGGGTGCATAAGCTTGTTATACCTCTATGTCATGTTGAGGGGGTCTAGTTACCCCACAATAAAGTGAAAAGCCAGATTGATCTTGCAGGATAGATGGGACTAAACTGTATTTTAACCATATTCCTAACCTAGAAGGTTAGCTATAGCTTACTATATAGCTTGCTATTGCTATAGCTGTATAGATTTTAGCAGAGTCTGAAAACACAAAAATATTGGTTTAGTTCCAACTACACCATAACATCAAGCCATGTTTTAACCATGTTGAGGACAGCTCTCTTGTAATCAACTGATCCATCATGAGAGTTGTCACAAGCTTGATGGAATGGTAAGGAAATGTGTTTTAAACTAGGTGTAAATGTGGCCACAGCCACATCAGCTTTTAACATGCTAGAACACAGCCTAGCAGATTACATCATTCTCAGAGGACTGCGCACAAAGAACCAGCCAAACTAGCTTAGCTTGGACGGTTTTTTAAACTCAATATAAAATGATTCGCAAACTCAGGCACCTACAGAAAAGACCTGCCCCACTCCTGAAGACAAACAGAGGATAGGACAGGTGGTAACCGAAAGAACTAGATTTGCCTGATGTGTGATCATTATGCAATTTCCCTCTCCAGCAATTACCTGATGGCATAACAACTTGATGGCTTCTGCTGGGCTTGTCCCAAGGACAGCTTACGTAGAATAGTCCCTGAACTAATTCACTCAGTGACTTTCAAAAGTGCTGATTGCAAAAGGAAGGCAGGAGCTTTGTGACAGAGGAATTACCCCACATGCATCTAATCCAGGGCTCTGCAAGTATTTATCACATGACAGTTAGGTACATTGTGTAGGTTGTTTGCGCACTGTTTTATATGTTTTTGTGCGTATATGCAGTTTTTTTGCAACGTGTGCAACTGAGTGTTGGCATTACATGCTAGGTGCACATGTTGGTTGTGAAATTGTGTGCTTTCTGTCGTGCTGTTGGTGGTGTGCTGTGTTCCTATTGTGTTGAATGTATGTGCTGTGTTATATATAGCCTCTACTTACATATACATTTGAGCACCATCCTTCCATTATTACATTCCAGGTCCTGCATACATTTCCCTATATCTTAGTGAGGTCCCCTCTGAAGTACAGACAATAGCCATTGTTTGGTTTTGGGGTAGGTGAGTGTGCTTCCCTGCTTGGCAACCAACAAAGCCCGGAGCCAGCTCCTGCGAACACTAAACATGCCTTTTATCACTGACAAATTAGTTTGCCAGCAACAGGAAGTGATGTTACTGTCTTCCTCACAAAAGGGAAACTCCTAGTGGTTTCCATGGGGATGTAGGCAACTGTGTAATTACAACTTTATATAATCTTAAAGGCACACACTTCAGTTTTATGCCTTCCTCACTATGGAGGTAAAGGCCTGGTACATGGCCCTAAACCACCTCAGAGTGTAGCCACAGACTGTGAAGGTCAGTGGAAGGTGGCTGTCAAAGCTACAGAAAGAGCGTGTTGGGCGTCCTGAGCAAATGCCAATGCAAACCCTAAAGAACATATACCAGAGAGCAGAAGGGAAAAGACAAGCCTGAGCATTTAGAGTAAACAGATATTTAAACCACGTAGGCTTCCTCCCCAGAAGACAGAGAAATGTAGTTAGCCATGTTAGCCCCCTGAAAATAACAGTGCGAATTATATGGGTAAGACTGTCTTTCTCTGCCCTGTGTTTGCCCCAAGCCTTGATATCGTCTGTCTCACCACCTCTTCAGCTCAGCTTCCATCCATGCCTGCTCTACAAACTGCCTCCCCTCATCTTTGCATGTGCCCTGGAGGTTTCCTCCATTCCTTGCCTTTCTTTTTAACAAAGCTTCTCTCAAGTAAATCCCACTACATACTCCTCCCTCTCCCCCCAAATTGTGGTGCTAAAATAACAGCTGATAGCACTTTCCATTCTGTCCGCAAGTCATCCCTTTCTTTTCCCCTTCTTTTTGGACTCTAGACTCTTCATGGTAGGCCTGTATACTTCTCTGTACCCAGGACCATAACTATTGTGGGGGGAGTGGAGCAAGATGCAGAAGTAGCAATCCCCCATGCTGCTGGCCTGGCTGCCACCCCATTCACTGCCCCTGCTCAGCATGCACAGCCACGCAGCTATGCTTTGGCTGTAGCTGTAGACCACGTAGCACACTGGGATCCCAGCTTTACTTGGGCCAGGGGTGCCAAAGGAGATTACAAGCACAGAATTATGTTTGCACCTTGCAGAGGGAGTTTGAACTAGCTGAAATTGGCTTGTTTTTAGGAAAGTGATTTTTGTCAAAGCAGCTCCCTATTTGTGCCCCTCTGTCAAGAGCCTGTTTAAGTTTATAAAAATGGGTTGCCTCTCAGGTACTGAGTTTCATTGTTTTAAGTAACACATAAACAAGCCTTCCCAGATGACAGGAAGTGAAATTCTGTTTGAATTGTGATCAACGGGCAGGTTTTTTTATTATTATTATTATCGTTAGTTCCATGACTGGGGCTGCCAAGGTTGTATTTTTCCACACAACAAGCTTTGCTCTGCAGGTATAAAGAGACTCATGTATTCAGAAATAGCTTTACTCATATTATAGGAAACACACCACTGGGCATAAATCCATGGAACAACAATACCTGCCAAGAGAATGTCTGTGCAAAAAGGAAAGGGGGCTGGGAGCCCTCTAGGGTTTGCAGAGTGGGGGAAGATTATTTGATATCAGTCGAGTCTCACCTATGCAATGAATTTTAGGAGAGGAAGGGGCTCTTCAGTTCTTGGTGAGCAGGGATTTTAACTTCCCTTTTGCTATTCTATTTGTGTCCCTTGGGATCAGGTTGTGGCTTGCTGAATGCCTATGTAGGATACTGATGACAGAGCTGTTTCACCTGAGTTTCAGACACAGCAGTGCATCATGTGAACGTTCAAGGACACCTTCTCCCAGGGGAGCAGTACTAGATTTTTAACACCGCCATTAACACTTCAGGGGTCTCACAGGACTCTACACAGCAATACCCTGCATAGGGTCTGGCTTGGCAATGGTTGTGGGGTAAACAGCAGCTTGTACTTCACAAAAGCACATATATAAATGCTGGGCTCTAGAGCCTTCTTTATAGATAAGTTACTTCACTTCAGGTGGATATTCAGGGTGAAACCCTACCCTACTGTGCCTCTAGGACCATACAGCTATCCAAGAGTAGGATTTGATACGCTGAATTTTAACACAGAGCCTGCCTTGCCTATGCCCTTCCGGGTGGGTAAGTCACATTTGTAGCTGTGGCATTCTCTACAGCACAAGACTAGCATTGTAAGCAATATTAATAACCCCACATATGGAGGGATGGAGGTGAGGTCACGGCTGTACCCACCCTCTGCCAACAGCTTCAGCTGGCACATGGATAGTAAAACAATAATTGTCAGAACATTTCCAACACCACCCAGTAGGTGCTAGCTGACCTCATATCACTTCATTGTCTATTATAGTCACATTTTACCTTGGGGGGAGGCAGATATTTTGATTAGCTCCTCCTTTTCTTTGTTACACTATACATAAAAGTAGAATACACTGTGGTCTTAGTTACCTCACTGTAAATTCTGAATATTCATGCAAAGCTTAGCTTTGAAGTAAAATATAGTGAGGTCCTTACCTTTTCTCAACCCCATTTTTCCGCTGGGTTGATGGAGATGGGTCAAAGTCAATATTTTTTTCAAAACCTGGAGCAAAAAGAATTTGATGCCATGTGAGAAATAAGATGTCTGCTTTCAACACAGTGCAGTTTCTTTGTACTGATGTTGACATGCCAAGATTTGTTTACAATGTGTTGTGAATATGGCATCTTATCTGGGGTACCAGAGATAATGTTGAGCAGCAAATAGGAACACTTGGGGAATGAAAATAATTAAAAAATTACCAGACTGCTAGGGGCATGTATTATGAACATGGGACGCTGTCAGGAGCAGGCCAATTTTTAGACTTATTCTTAACATCTTCAAGACTAAGTAAAGAAGCCCTGGTCAGAAGAGACCTATTTTTGTTCATGGTAGGTTAGCCAGTTGTCAAATTCTCTGCTGGTGTAAACAGGTATAGTTATGTGGACATCAATAAGACCAACATCAATTTATGTAGCTGAGAATCAGACTTAAATTGCCCTAATGAAGCAGTAATAAAGTCTTACACCAATAACTGAACCACAGGCCTTGTGTTTGTATTAGTCCATAGTTTAGCTCAAAAGCAGAATCTAGCTAGCATAAACTTTTCACAACCATTTTTCCAGCTGTGTTGATTGAGATGAGGAGGTTGAATGACTTGCCTGAGGTCAGAGTTGAACAGCAGGAAGAGAACCCAGGATTTTTCTACTGTGTGGTAGCCTGTAGCCCCCTCTGGGAGACATCCTAGAAAAGGTTTCAGCATAGGGCAAAGAAATACATAGAATAATAGTTTGAAGATTTCAATAGAAATATCATAATTTATTCTGTTTGTATAAAAAGTAGTAATTGTATAGCAAAACTATGTCTTCATAAGAAGAAATATATTATTTCACATCATAAATAAAAATCAGCAAACATACAACCCTTGGCAACTCAAAAAAGCACTCATCTGGTGCTCTCACGTCAGTGCTTAGGAAGTGGGAACTGTTTAAGATGTATTTACAGGATTACAGTACCAAAAAAAAAAAAAAAAATACTGAGGTATTTGGTTTCTCTAGAAATGAAGCTTCAGGCTTGTGAAGGCAGAGACAATACATTTACATAAAAAATAAATAAATAATAGGACTTGTATAAAAAGGGACAGTGTCACTTGCTTTGAATGTCCAGGAATGGAAATACTGGTGAATATGCTACTTAACACAGACTAGGTTTAAAACTGACAGAAGACAAAGATGGAATAGAAGGAAGCAATGTCCTTTTAACTTCTTGGTAGACATCCAGATTTGGTCAAAAAATTGTCAGTCGAGTCAGAATGAACCTAGCTCTCTGGAGCCAGATAAGCTCCTCCCGATTAGTAATAATGTGTTGTTCTGAATGATGGATGAACACAATGAGAATGAAAATGACCGATGACACTGTCCCCAGAGTTATTGCACTTTTTAAATAACAAGGGTCAAGTCTGAGTTCTGAGCAAGTTCTTATCTGCCTTTCAGCAGCTGGGAGAAGTGGTGATGGGGCTCTGAAGATAGCTTAAAGCACTGGATGATGCATGTACAGGGATGGAGACAGGGAAATTGAAGACTGTGGTTGTCGATGTCCCTCTGTCCAATACAGACATGGCTGGGCTTCCAGCTTCTGCTGAGCAGTTTGGGGCTAGGACCTGGGACTCAAACTGCAGCAACTGGCCCATGAAGCTGAAGTTTGGGGAAATTATGCTTCTCCTCTGTTTTACAAACTCAAAGGCTTCATCCAGTTTGACTCTGTTGGTCCGCATGAGATAAGCGAGGCAGATGGTTGCTGATCGGGAGATGCCAGCTTGGCAGTGCACAAATACCCTTCCACCATCATTTTTAACAGAGTCTGAAATACAAATGATTCATTTAAATGCCTGCGTCATGCTACAGAAACACATCTTGCTATTTCATACTATTGTACTTCTATTTAATATTTTATTTCTTTAGCATTCCAGGAGTCCATGGCACTTTTGCAGACAAAATGGACCCCTGTCCTGAGGGAGGCAGATAGCAAAGGTTTTGATTCTAAAAAACTCTGAATCAATTCATACGAACAGTTTCCTTTGCCCACAGATATTAAATTCCCATCAGTGGATGCAGACTAAATTTCACAGGCTGAATCAGATAACATGGTACAGAAAGCAAACAACCTTCAGGATCCTCTAAGGCAGCACTTCTCTACCTTTGGGTCATGACCCAAAAGTGGATCGCTAGAACGTATGAAAAGATCATACAACTTTAAAAAGGAATCCTCCTTTAAAAAGGAGAAAAAATGTGGGAAGCCGTGGCTTTTCCTTTGCAGGCAGGCAGAGTTCCAGCCTGAAAGGGGCTGCTTGGGGCTCCCCATGCCTTACACCCACCCAACCCCTGCCCCGCATACTGTGGGGAGGGGGCATTGCATCAGGACTGGCTACTGATGTTTACAAATGGGTCCTGGTACAAAAACAAAAAAAAAGGTTGAGAACTGCTGCTTTAAAGATCCTTGGCTCTCAGTAATACAGCCTTCAGGGAGTACCCATAAGGGATAGCTGCTGATTTTCTTTATTTTAATTCCTGAGGAAACAACATGATGCATCTTAAATTTAAACCCAATTGGGGGAGCTCATCCAAGTTTTCTGCCACAAGGGTAATGCCTGCTCAGCACTTAGAAGCACAGACGCCGGGGAGAGCTCATTTACCTATGAAATCAATGGCTTCGTTAAACCAGGAGCTGATGTCCGCCTTGTGGTTGTCCTCCACTGGGATGCTCTTGTATTGGTAGTGCCCCTCAAAGTGGTTGGGGCAGTTAGCCGAGACATTGATTAACGCCGTGATCCCCAAGGCATCCAGCATGTCCCTTCTGGAGGCGTGGTAGGCACTACCCAAGTAGAGGAATGGCAGGATTTCCACAGGGCCACCCTGAGAGGAGAGATGGGGACAAACGATCAGATCATTGCATTCCGTGATGTCCAACAGCTTCTCCCCCCCTTGCGATCCGATTTGCTTTCTCCCCCCACCGCCCCCGTCCTACCCACCTGGTCGTACAGCGGGGTGCCACACGAGCTGCAGCCCGAGTCGGCGCTGTCGGGCACGCTGCTGGCACTCAGGGGCAGGCTGAGGCCCGTGGGAGGCGATGGCTTGGTGCACAGCTCAGAGCAGGCGGAAGAGAAGGCTTCGTACCCTCCTGCCGTGGGGAAAGAAAAAGAGAGAAGCTGGTTTAGGATCAAGTCGGTACTGAGATGCCTGGGGTTGCCAGGCTGGGCTGTACCCTCAGTTTTGTCCCGATCCCCCCTGGCAGGGGGGATAGGGAGCCGCGTCCTCCTGCCCCGACCCCGCGGGCGGCGCTCACCCTTGAGGAAGCAGACGCGAGTGCCGCGGACCTCGCGGCACAAGGCGCTGGCAGCCAGCAGCAGGGTGCTGTCCCGCGCCGGCCGCTCCAGCTCCAGCTCGGCGCTGCGCTCGTCCAGCAGCACTACGGCGCGGTAGTGTCCGCGCAGCAGGCGGGCGCGCAGCTCCTCGTTGGGCACGATGTGCTCCAGCCCCATGGCGCCCTTGGCGCGGCGCCGCACGATGGTACTGAAGCGCACGTTGGCCGAGCCCAGGATGTGCGAGGAGCTGAAGGCGAAGAAGGAGCGGCAGTCCAGCACCAGGCACGGCGCCGCGCCCTCCTGCAGCAGCTCCCGCAGCGCCGCGCACTCCAGGGCGCACACGTCCATATTTACCATCGCTCCAACCCCAGGATAGCTCCGTGACACTGCGTGTACCGCGTGTGCTTTCGTGTGCATATGTGTGACAGGCCCGCCGCCGCTGCCTTATATAGCCGCCGCCGCCCCGCCTCGTTTTAGTTATGAATGAGGCCCGGCCCAGGTGACCGCCCCTGGGGTGGCGACGTCACTTTGGCGCGGGGCCAGTCCTGCGCGCCCCGCCCCGCCCCGCCAGCAGCACTGACGTCATTGGCAGGCGGTGCTGGCCCCTGCTGAGCGGCGGCTTGCGGTCCCGGTGTTCCCTGCGAGCCGGGGCACATGGCAGCGCTGCCCGGGGCTGGGGGCAGGCCAGGGCGGCGCCGTGTGGGCTCTGGGGGCGACGGGAGAGCAGGGCTGCTTAGGGGTGTCTCTCACCTGCGCCAGAAACACTCACTGCCCCCCTGGTGTGAGGGGAGCGCGACAGCCCCTGCCCCCCTGTGCTATGAGCTCCCCCACCTGCCTCCTGCCACTCTGCTGTCTGCTGCCTTTGTGAGGCCTCAGTTGCGGTCCTTTTTTAATCTGTTTGATATTGTCTGGTTTCTAATAAAATGATTAAAAAAAAAGTTTTTAGAGGGCATTGGGTGCGTTTATTGTAAGGGGAGGCCTGGGTTTCTTAATGGAAAGGGTGTGTGTGTGGGTGGGTGGGTTTCTTAATGGAAAGGGTGTGTGTGTTAATGGAAAGTGTGTGTG